TGCATCCTCATAGTTTAGGGAGAACATACAATATTTGGTTTTCTGTTCCTGAGTTACTTCACTTAAAATAATGGTCTCCAACTCCATTCATGTTGCTGCAAATGCCATTACTTCATTTCTTTTCATAGCTGAGTAGTATTCCATGGTGTATATATATCTTTATCAACTTGCTGATTGATAGGCATTTAGGTTGGTTTCATATTTTTGCAACTGCAAATTGTGCTGCTATAAACATGTGTGTGCAAGTGTCTTTTCCATATAATGACTTATTTTCCTCTGGGTAGATACCCAGTAAGGATTTGCTGGATCTAATGGTAGTTCTGCTTTTAGTTCTTTAAGGAATCTCTATACTGTTTCCCTTAGTGGTTGTACTAGTTTACATTCCCACCAGCATTGCCAAAGGGTTCCCTTTTCACCACATCCACGCCAATATCTGTATTTTATTTTTAATTTTTAAATTACAGCCATTCTTGCAGGGGTAAGGTGGTATCACGTTGTTGTTTTAATTTGCATTTCTCTAATAGAGATGTTGAGCATTTTTCATGTTTGTTGGCCATTTCCATATCTTCTTTTGAGAATTGTCTATTCACGTCCTTTGCCCATTTTTTGATGGGGCTATTCATTTTTTTCTTGCTGATTTGAGTTCCTTGTAGATTCTAGATATTAATTCTTAGCTGATCGCAGTTTGTGAATATTTTCTCCTACTCTATGGGTTATCTGTTTACTCTGCTGATTATTTCTTTTGCTGTGCAGAAGCTTTTTAGTTTAATTAGGTCCTATTTATTTATCTTTGTTTTTGTTACATTTGCTATTGGGTCCTTGGTCAAGAATTCTTTGCCTAAGCCAATGTCTAGAAGAGTTTTTCCGATGTTATCTTCTAGAATTTTTATGGTTTTAGGTCTTAGATTTAAGTCTTTGATCCACCTTGAGTTGATTTGTGTATAAGGTGAGAGATGAGGATCCAGTTTCATTCTTCTACATGTGGCTTGGCAATTATCCCAGAACCATTTGATGAATAGGATTATTTTTCATTCTTTCTTGTTTTTTTCATTTCTTAGCTCTAGGCATTTAAGGGAACTCCTCTTTCAAAACACCAGGCGAACACTAGACTAATAGAACAAAGACCTCAGTGGTCACAAACAACAAAAAATACTAAAGTAGTTTGGGAAAGTCACTAAATAAGCATATAATGACAGCCCACAATAGCCAACAGAGACAAATTTTGGGGAGAAATAAGAATTTGGTTTCCAGAGCAGAACAGAGGCCTCGGAGGCAGCACAACATATCTACAACCATCTGATCTTTGACAAACCTGACAAAAACAAGCAATGGGGAAAGGATTCCCTGTTTAATAAATGGTGTTGGGAAAAATGGTTAGCCATGTGTAGAAAGCAGAAACTGGATTCCTTCCTGACACCTTACCCTAAAATTAACTGCAGATGGATTAAAGACTTAAACATAAGACCTAACACCATAAAAACCCTAGAAGAAAACCTAGGCAAAACCATTCAGGACATAGGCATAGGCAAGGACCTCATGACCAAAACACCAAAAGCATTGGCAACAAAAGCCAAATAGACAAATGGGACCTAATCAAACTCCACAGCTTCTGCACGGAAAAAGAAACAGTCATTAGAATGAATTGGCAACCAACAGAATGGGAAAAAAATTTTGCAATCTACCCATCTGACAAAGGGCTGATATCCAGAATTTACAAAGAACTAAAACAGATTTACAAGAAAAAAACAAACAAGCCCATTCAAAAGTGGGCAAAGGATATGAACAGACACTTTACAAAAGAAGACATACATGAGGCCAACAAACATATGAAAAAATGCTCATCATCACTGGTCATTAGAGAAATGCAAATCAAAACTACATTGAGATACCGTCTCATGCCAGTTAGAATGGCGATCATTAAAAAATCTAGAGACAACAGATGCTAGAGACGATGTGGAGAAATAGGAACACTTTTACACTGTTGGTGGGAGTGTAAATTAGTTCAACCATTGTGGAAGACAGTGTGGCGATTCCCCAAGGACCTAGAAATAGAAATCCCATTTGACCCAGCAATCCCATTACTGGGTATATATCCAAAGGATTATAAATCGTTCTAGCATAAGGACACATGCACACAAATGTTCATTGCAGCACTGTTTACAATAGCAAAGACATGGAACCAACCCAAATGCCCATCGATGATAGACCGGACAGGGAAAATGTGGCACATATACACCATGGAATATTACACAGCCTTCAAAAATGATGAGTTCGTGTCCTTTGTAGGGACATGGATGAACCTGGAAACCATCATTCTCAGCAAACTGACACAAGAGCAGAAAATCAAATACCTCATGTTCTCACTCATAGGCGAGTGTTGAACAATGAGAACACATGGACACAGTGAGGGGAGCACTGCACACTGGGGTCTGTTGGGCAGAAATGGGGGAGGGACAGTGGGGGGTGGGGAGGTGGGGAGAGATAGCATGGGGAAAAATGCCAGATATAGGTGATGGGGAGGAAGGCAGCAAATCACACTGCCATGTGTGTACCTATGCAACTATCTTGCATGTTCTTCAAATGTACCCCCAAACCTAAAATGCAATAAAAAAAAAAAAGAATTTGGTTTCCAGAGTTGTCATTTTATAATACCCAAAGTGTCAAGTTTTCAACAAAAAATGATGAAGCATGCAAAGAAACAAAAGAGAAATTAATAGAAAATGTCCATGAAGAAGCATAGGCATTGGACTCACTAGACAAAGACTTTTTTTTTTTACTTTAACCATAATAACCTATTTCATTTATATTTTTTAAAACCCTGAAGGTAAAATCTAAAAGAATAACATTTCTTCCTTCTGTTGCATGTATATACAAAATTTTATAGAATTGCGTGAACTTTGACATATTTTAAGCTTATAAAACAAATAAAATAGAAATTAACCCAAATCTAACCTATTACACAGTTCAACTTCTATAATACTAAAAATGCTGGAAATCTACACACGCAATGCCGAAATTAGTATGTTCTACTGGATCTTGAAGACAGAGAGCCTCACTCACCAACGCCTCACAAAATGCAAGGTAGCTTTTCCTCTTGGTCATGCATAATGTCATGGTAGAAACTTTAGCACAGTCCCATTTTTATGGCCTCAGTCTCCCTAAGCAAATGCGACTTTGTAATGATATTTTCTTTCTTTAGTCATCATCTTATACCCTAGTGTAGTTGAAGTTTATGGGATATACATGTATGTGACTGATGCAATTTGGTTATAATATAGTATTTTACATGAAAGTGGCAGTACTATGTTTGAAATGTAAGTGTGGGAATGGATATAGCCATATGATTTTGTGTTTTTTATTTTTAAATAGACAAACACTTTAGACCTACATTCTTAATATGCTCAAAGAGATCAAGGAAACCATAGACAAAGAACTGAAGGAAATCAGGAGAATGATTTCTCAACAAATGGAGACCATTGATAAAGAGAGAGAGAAATTATAAAAAGAAACCAAATATAAATTTTTAATCTAAAAAAATACAAATTGGCCAGGCATGGTGGCTCACATATATAATTCCAGCACTTTGGGAGGCTGAGGCAGGCACATTGCTTGAGCCCAGAAGTTCGAGACCAGCCTGGGCAACATGGCAAAACGCTTTCTCTACAAAAATTACAAAAAATTACCCAGGCATGGTGGCACATACCTGTAGTCCCAGCTACCCAGGAGGCTGAGGTTGGAGAATCACCTGAACCTGGTAGGTTGAAGCTGCAGTGAGCCATGATCATGCCACTGCACTCCAGCCTGGGTAACAAAGTGAGACCCTATCTCAAAAAACAAACAAAAACAGGCTGAGCACAGTGGCTCATGCCTGTAATCCCAGCATTTTGGGAGGCAGAGGTAGGTGGATTTCTTGAGGCCAGGAGTTCGAGACAAGCCTGGCCAACATCAGGAAACTCCATCTCTCCTAAAAATACAAAAATTTGCTGGGTGTGGTGGCACACGCCTGTGATCCCAGCTACTTGGAAGTCTGAGACATGAAAATCACTTGGGGTGGAGGTTGCAGTGAGATGTGATTGCACCAATACACTGTAGCCTGGGTGTCAGAGTGAGACTGTCTCAAAATAATAATAATAATAATAATAATACAATCACTATAATGAAAGATTCACTGGAAAGGTTCAATATCAGATTTGAACAGGCTGAAAAATCAATTAACTTGTTAGGTCAATTGAGATTATCTAGTCTGGAGAGTATAAAAAAAAGGGTGAAGAAAGAAAAAACCTGTAATCCTAGCTACTTGGGAGGCTGAGACATGAGAATTGTTTGATCCTCGCAGGTGGAGGTTGCAGTGAGCTGAGATTGTGCCACTGCACTTTGGTCTAGGCCACAAAGTGAGACCCTGTCTCAAGAAAAAAAAAGAAGAAGAAAGAAAAAATGACTTCCAGTTTCCAGTCCAGCTTGTAAAGAGCTTAGGGACATGTCAGATACCATTAACCGTACTAATCTATATACCCCAAGAAGAGAGTCCCAGGAAGAGAAGAGAGCAAGAAAGGGGTAGAAAAAATATCTGAAGAAATAATGACCATGAACTTCCCAAATTTGAGGAAAGACATGAGTCTACACATCCAAGAACCTCAAGAAGTCCAAGAAGGATAAACTCAAAAAAATCCACACAGACACACATTGTAATAAAATTGTCAAAAGCCAAAGGCCAAGAGGGAATCTTGAAAACTCACAAACAAAACAAAGTGAGTCAACACATAAAAGGGATTTTCCATAAGCCAGTTTTTCGTCAGAGATCACAGAGGCCAGAAGGCAATTACATAACATATTTAAAGTGATGAAAGAGGCCCGCCCAGCCGGCGGGAGCGCGGCGGCCCGGCTCCCGCAAGGCCGCGCCAAGCCAGGGGAGCCCCCGCGGCGTCCAGGCGCGGGGGGCCGGGCCCGCCCTCGCCGCCGCCGCCGGGCGCGGCATTTTTATTCAGGCGACGCTTAAGGGAGCCCGGCTGCGCCCGGTGCATTGTGGGAGTGGCCTGCGGCCGGTTTTCGGAAGGAGGCGGAGGGCGCAAAGCGAGTCGGTGGATCCGTAAAAAACCCAGCCAACCCGCAGAGGGAGGACAGGGGCTGAGCTGTGAGGAGAGCGGGCCCCAGAACCATGTCTACGCGGGAGTCCTTTAACCTGGAAAGTTACGAATTGGACAAAAGCTTCCGGCTAACCAGATTCACTGAACTGAAAGGCACAGGCTGCAAAGTGCCCCAAGATGTCCTACAGAAATTGCTGGAATCTTTACAGGAGAACCACTTCCAAGAAGATGAGCAGTTTCTGGGAGCTGTTATGCCAAGGCTTGGCATTGGAATGGATACTTGTGTCATTCCTTTGAGGCATGATGGGCTTTCCTTGGTTCAAACCACAGATTACATTTACCCGATCGTAGACGACCCTTACATGATGGGCAGGATAGCATGTGCCAATGCCCTCAGTGACCTCTACGCAATGGGGGTCACGGAATGTGACAATATGCTGATGCTCCTTGGAGTCAGTAATAAAATGACCGACAGGGAAAGGGATAAAGTGATGCCTCTGATTATCCAAGGTTTTAAAGACGCAGCTGAGGAAGCAGGAACATCTGTAACGAGCGGCCAAACAGTACTAAACCCCTGGATTGTCCTGGGAGGAGTTGCTACCACTGTCTGCCAGCCCAGTGAATTTATCATGCCAGACAATGCAGTGCCAGGGGATGTGCTGGTGTTGACGAAACCCTTGGGGACACAGGTGGCAGTGGCTGTGCACCAGTGGCTGGATATTCCTGAGAAATGGAATAAGATTAAGCTAGTTGTCACCCAAGAAGATGTAGAGCTGGCCTACCAGGAGGCGATGATGAACATGGCGAGGCTCAACAGGACAGCTGCAGGACTCATGCACACATTCAACGCCCATGCGGCCACTGACATCACGGGCTTCGGGATTTTGGGCCACGCACAGAACCTGGCCAAGCAGCAGAGAAACGAGGTGTCGTTCGTCATTCACAACCTCCTGGTGCTGGCCAAGATGGCTGCAGTGAGCAAGGCCTGCGGAAACATGTTCGGCCTCATGCACGGGACCTGCCCGGAGACCTCAGGCGGCCTTCTGATCTGTTTACCATGTGAGCAAGCAGCTTGGTTCTGTGCAGAGATCAAGTCCCCCAAACATGCTGAAGGCCACCAAGCATGGATTATTGGGATTGTAGAGAAGGGCAACCGCACAGCCAGAATCATAGACAAATCCCGGATCATCGAGGTCGCACCGCAAGTGGCCACTCAAAATGTGAATCCCACACCGGGGGCCACTTCTTAATCTAGACAGAAATAGCTGTTTGGTTTTGTTTTTAAATAGCTCTATTTCCTTTATCATCACTTCAATTAAAGACTATAAACAACAAAAATCTCATTGTGTCTACACATTGGGTGACCTTAGGTTGGTTTGTAAGTGGATACAATTAATAAAATAAAATCCATTGCCTTTTCTTCCTGTTACATTAACTGAAGATGCACCTAATCTTGAGGCAGCTTCTGAGTTGAGAATTATATTGTTATCCAATACTGTTGATTCATTTTGAATCTTTAGACACTTATCTCTTGCCACATAGGCTCTTTTTAAAGGTGCTTTCACATAGCACAGACATTACCAATAGTCATGTCAGATAGCAGTTGGTGTCTTTTCATTTTGTGTATATTTATCATATAAATCCGATTTTTTTTTAAGTGTCTTGAATGGTTTTCTGGAGAGACGGCATTGGTAAGTGGCACATGACGGTGTACCAGTCGTAAGAGGGTTGCATGATTCCTTTGAGTCTTTGGTTTGGAAAGCCTAGTCTTGTCTCTCAAGAGCATCTTGGACCCAGGACATTCTCCAGTAGTGCATTCAGTTCAACACAGCAAGTGCTTCACTGCATGGAAAACACTTTGAAGACAAAAAAGAAATCTTGTTTCTTTTTTTGTAGCCTTCCTGATATTTACAGTAATACCATTAACTGTTTTCTTTATCAATAGCAAAAAAGGATACTTTTTGCAATGTAATTAGATGTTCTATAGTGCTACGAGGAATTGCCTTCCAAAAGGAGGTTTGTGTATGATACTCATTTACAATTCAATATATAATTAACTACACAAATAATTTTTAAATATGATCAATAATAAAGACTCTTCTGTGGGAAAAAAAAAAAGTGACGAAAGAAAAAAAAAAAAACATCAAACAGGAATTCTATCTCCAGCAAAATTATACTTTAAAAATGAACAAAAGGCCGGGTGTGGTAGCTCACTCTTGTAATCCCAGCACTTTGGAAGGCCAAAGCAGGCAGATCACTTGAGGCCAGGAGTTTGAGATCAGCTTGGCCAACATGGAGAAACCCCTTCTCTAGTAAAAATACAAAAAAATTAGCCAGGCATGGTGGCACACACCTGTAATCCCAGCTACTCGGGAGGCTGAGGCAAGAAAAAAAAAGAAGAAGAAAAAAATGACTTCCAGTTTCCAGTCCAGCCTGTAAAGAGGTTAGACATTGTCACTCTGTCTTAATAAGTATTAGAAAGTAGAACAAACTAAAAACCAACAACTCTTCTTAGGTTCCTCAGAGAATTGAGGTTATGGGTCAAAATGCTGCCCCCAAATTGGAAAGAGTGGCAGATGCAGAAGATTACAATTTTCTGGAGCAGAAACCCTCACACTGAAACCTTCATGTGAACCAGCACCCATGGGTAGGAAAAGTCAAACTTTAGTTGGTGAATTGCTGGAGGTTCAATGAGAAAATTCAATAAGAATTTTTAATTCTCAAAATTGTCCACATTGAGACCCAAGGTTAGGGGGACCCTACACTTTCACTAGTCTTACCTCAAGGAGCCTTACCAGAGTCTCACAGTTAAAACTGAAGAAAAATCCCCTTCTGATTCCTACAGGGTAAGGATAAAAATAGCCATTTTGAAGTATACTCAGAGTATTATGTTCTTCATAACAAGTCCTGCCTTCAAGAGAAAATATTTTACCAGAATACAACCTACTAAAATTTTTTAAGAGCCTGACTGGCCTGGGAAGAAAGAAATACCTAACACCATAACCCTTTGGCCTTTCTGACCTATAGGGGGAGGAAAAACCTAAGAAGCTCTTGGGAAGGTCATAGTCCAGAAGGAGAATTTCACTAAAAGACTTGAGATCTAATCATAGGTACATAGAATGATACACCTCTCCCCACATCTTACCACCACATCACTCAAGGGCTATTTACATACAATTATTTTTACAGAGTACATCATCTCCAGCTTTCAATAAAAAAATATGTCATATTAAAAGGCAAAAATCCCCATAGTTTAGATACAGAGCAAGTATCAGAACCAGACTCAGATATGAAAATTTTAAATAACTATGATTAATATGTTAAGGGGTCTAATGGAAAAAGTAAACATGCAAAAACAAATGAGTAATGTAACCAGAGATTAAAATCTAGGAAAGAATAAAAAAGGAATGCTAGAACAAAAAATACTGTAATAGGAGTGAATAATGCATTTGATGGGCTCAGTAGTAGACTGGACATTACTGAGGAGTCAGTAAGCTTGAGGATATGGTAATAGAAATTTCCCAACCTGAAAAACAAAGAGAAAAAAATAATGAAAAACAACACAGAACACAATACCTAAGGACTATGGGACAACTATAAAGGATTTAGATATGCATAATGGGAATACAAAAATGAAGCGAAAGACAAAAAGAAACAGGAGAAATATCTGAAGCAATAGTGACTGAAAATTCCCCCAAATTAATGCAAGACACCAAACTCCACCCCAAGAAGTTCAGAGAATACCAAGCCAGATAAATGCCCAAAAATCTACATGTAGGCATATAACATTCAAACTACAGAAAATCAAAGACAGAAAAACGTTTTTGAAAGAATCTTGGCTGGGAGTGGTGGCTTATGCTTGTAATCCCAGCACTTTGGGAGGCCAAAGCAGGTGGATCACCTGAGGTCAGGAGTTCGAGACCAGCCTGACCAATATGGTGAAACCCCATCTCTACTAAAAATACAAAATTAGCTGGGTGTGGTGGCGCACGCCTGTAATCCCAGCTACTTGGGAGGCTGAGGTAGGAGAATTGCTTGAACCCAGGAGGCAGAGGTTGTGATGAGCCAAAATTGTGCCATTGCATTCCAACCTGGGCAACAAGAACGAAACTCTGCCAAAAGAGAGAGAGAGAGCGAGAGAGAGAGAGAGAGAGAGAGAGAGAGAGAGAAGAATCTTTACCCATAGGAGAATAAAGATAGGAATTACATTAGACTTTTTTTCAGAAACTAGGCAAGAAGATAGTGGTATAAAATATTTAAAGTGCTGAGAAAAAAACCCATCAACCTCAGATTCTGAATCCAGTAAAATTATTCTTCATAACTGAAAGAGAAATACATACTTTCTCAGAAAAACAAAAATGGGGGGAATTTGTTGCCAGTAGACCTTCCTTGGAAGAAAAGAAATTCAGAAACAATGAAAATTACATAGGTTAGAAATTTGGATCTAAATAAACAAAGGAAGAACATTCGAGAGGGAGTAAGTGATGTTAAAATAAAAACTTTTTGGCTGGGTGTAGTGGCTCACACCTGTAATCCCAGCACTTTGGGAGGCCAAGGTGGGTGGATCACCTAAGGTCAGGAGGTCTAGACCAGCCTGACCAACATGGAGAAACCCATCTCTACTAAAAATACAAAATTAGCCAGGCATGATGGCACATGCCTATAATCCCAGCTATTTGGGAGGCTGAGGCAGGAGAATCACTTGAACCTGGGAGGCGGAGGTTGCAGTCAGCTGAGATCACACCATTGAACTCCAGCCTGGGTAACAAGAACAAAACTCTGTATCAAAAAACAACAACAACAAAAAAAACTTTTCTTATTCTTAATTGATCTAACAAAAACTTTGTTCACAATAATAGCAAAAACGTTTACAATATTTATTCTTTACACATAAGTAAAACGAATGACAACAATGATACAAGGGATGGGGGGAGGAATTAAGAATCCTTTTTATAAGATACTTACACTACCCATGAAGTAGTATAGTATTATTTAAATGTAGACTTGCATTAGTTGCAAATGCATATTGTAAACTCTAGGGCAACCATTAAAATTTTTTTAAAGAAATATAATTGATATGCTAAGAAAGGAGCAAAAATGTAATAATATAAAATGCTCAATTAAAACAAAGGCAGAAAAAGACTGGGAGACAAAAATAGAAACAAAGAACAAGGGTAACAAACTAAAAATTGCGACAAATATTATAAATATTAATCCAGCTATAGTAACAGTCACTTTAATCATTGCAACAGCTAGGTGTAGTAGCAAGTGCCTGTAGTCTCAGCTACTTGGGAGGCTAAGGCAGGAGGATCCCTTGAGTCCAGGAGTTCTGAGCTATGGTATGCTCAGTGATTAAGTTTCTGTACTAAGTTTGCTATCAGTATGGTGACCTCCCAGGAGTAGGGAACCACCAGATGGCCTAAGGAGGGATAAACCAACCCAGGTTGGAAATGAAGGAGGTCAAAACTATGCTGATCAGTACTGGGATTACACCTGTAAACAGCCAATGCACTCTAGCTTGGGCAACATAACAAGACCCCATCTCTTAAATAAATAAATAAATACATAAACAAATATCATCACAACAATGAGACTTAGAGTGGACAAAGAAAAACAAGACACAACTATATGTTGTCTACAAGAAATCTACTTCAAACATAAAGACAGGCAAATTAAAAGTAAAGGGATAGAGAAATATATGTCATGCTAAAATTAATAAAAAGAAATCTGGAATATCTATATTAATTTCAGAAACAGACAATTTCAAAGCAAGGGTCATTATCAGGAATAATGAGAGGCATTACAGAATGATAAAGGGGTCAATTCTCCAAGAAGAAATAACAGTCTTTATGTGTATGTGCCTAACAACAGAGTCAAAATATTTGAGGCAAAAAAATGATGGAACTGCAAGGTGAAATAGATGAATCTGCTATTATAGTTATATACTTTAACATCCCTCTATCAGTAATAGACTGATCCAGCAGGCCAAAAATCAATAAGGACATAGTTGAACCAAGAGCACCATCAAATAGATCTAATTGACATGTATAGACTACTTCATCCAACTACAGCAGGATACATATTCTTCTCAAGCTCACATGGAATATTCATCAAGGCAGACAACATTCTTCAGGAGGCCAAAGTGGGCAGATCATCTGAAATCAGGAGTTTGAGACCAGCCTGGCCAATATGGTGAAACCCCGTCTCTACTGAAAATACAAAAAATTAGCCAGGTATGGTGGCAAGCGCCTGTAATTCCAGCTACTCAGGAGGCTGAAGGCATGAGAATTGCTTGAACCTGGGAGGCAAAGGTTGCAGTGAGTGGGATCACGCCATTGCACTCCAGCCTGGGTGACAAACTGAGACTCCATCTCAACCAATCAATGTGATTCACTGCATAAATAGAACTAAAGACAAAAACCACACGATTATTTCAATCGATCCAACAGATACAGAACAGAAAAGGCTTTTGGTAAAATTCAGCATCGCTTCATGTTAAAAACTCTGAACAAACTAGGTATTAAAGTAACATACCTCAAAATAAGAGTCATCTATGATAGACCAACAGCCAAGATCACAGTGAAAGGACAAAAGCTGGAAGCATTCCCCCTGAAAACTGGCACAAGATAAGGATGCTCTCTCTCACCACTCCTATTCAACATAGTATTAGAAGTCCTGGCCAGGGCAATCAGGCCAGAGAAAGAAATAAAGGGTGCCCAAATAGGAAGAGATGAAGTCAAACTATCCCTGTTTGCAGATAACATGATTCTATATCTAGAAAAATCCCATATTCTTGGCCCCAAAGCTTCTTACACTGATTAACAACTTCAGCAAAGTCTTAGGATACAAAATCAATGTACAAAAATCATCATCACTCCTATACACCAACAACAGTCAAGCCAAGAGCCAAGTCAGGAATGCAGTCCCATTCACAATTGCCACAAAAAGAATAAAATACCTAGGAATACAGGTAATCAGGGAGGTAAAAAATCTCTACAAGGAGAATGACAGAACACTGCTCAAATAAATCACAGATGATACAAACAAATGGAAAAACATTCCTTGTTCATGGATAGGAAGAATCAATATCACTAAAATGGCCATACTGCCCAAAGTAA